CAGCTTTGTATTCATTTGAGAAAATGGTCTATTACGGTGCCTATGGTCCCATTAGATGCCCATCATTTCTAGAATACATTATTATGACTAGTTTGAAAAACAGCGTTAGGTTTTCACCTTTACGATCGGGGAAGGAAAACAGTTGAATAGAACAGCTGCTAAAATTAATTGGAGGAAAGATGGTAGATCAATCGAGAAAATTACAGTTTTCCAGTTTATCTGAGTTAAAGAACACTTTGAGAATGCCTACGAATATAGTAATTCTGTAAACAACTGGAACTTCCAAAAAAATTCAACAGTGTTTGTTTTACTTTTTACTGACTTTCAATTGTATTCAAACTGCGAGATCTACAGGAATTGTGACCATAAATGTACAGGAATTGTGACCATAAATGATATCTGCTACGAGCCGGAAACTGGATTTGTCCACCGTTTCAAAATGACAGCGCAACAGATTCAGCAGTACAGGAAGTGTGAAAATCCTCCTGATGAAACATTCACATGTTGCTGGAGGAATGGTTTCTCAAAAAAATGTTTTTCAGAGCGTTTTCACCGATTTTCTAGTTAGTTTGAGATATAAAGAGAGGAGGAGGAGCGAGGAGGGTGGGGGAGGGCAGGAAAAAAAGCCGCCTTGCTCTCGGTGCTCATCACAAAAATTAACCGGTCCCAGAGTGAAATGGTTCGTAGAAGACCCAAGATAAACTATTTTTGGGGTTTTCCACTTCATGTAAAAACAAGTACTCCAGCACCTTGTCCTCCGGAAAGGTTAAGGGCATTCATCGTCGCTGTAGACTGTAGAGTACAAAAAAACCCCCATGATGTTTGGGTAGCCCTGGAGCGCTCTGGTAGCAGTGGAGCGCTCTGGGGACTGTCGCTCTGGTATTAGAAAGCACCAGCCGTCCAATATTCCGCTTGGGCTCAGGAATCGTTCCTCGTGATTGTGGCACTAGAGGCACACCGATTCTTGAGAGCTCAGGGATTCTCCGCACTGTTAGTTGGACTGATTTCGAAGATGCTAAGTAGGGTTCCCCAGTTTGTCCTTTTACCAGTTCACCGTTACCAAGTTCCGATGTAAATTAACACAAAAACCCACACCCAGTAAACAATGAGCCTGTAACCACGCCAGGCTCGCGCGAAATATGCCCCAGCGGTACACACTCCACGAGTGAGGGTAATTCTACACAAGGAGGTTTTCTTGCCCGTGCCTCTGAATACTGCTACTTTCAAAGTAACTGAGATGGTTTTCCAAACAAATATGAGCAGTATCTAGAAACACTAGCAGTATCTAGAAACACTATGAGTTTTCACATTCAAAATATGATGCTTGAATTGCAATATTGTGTTATTATCAGGTTTTACATTGGCATTACATGAGCTGAAGAGCCACTGTGCTGCAGAATTACTTTACTGTCTAGACTTTCTAAAAACTCGAATGTTGTAACATAGAAAAGGACAATTATGTGGATATCCTTAGAATCAATAATCGCGAAAAAAAAGAAGGAAGAAAAAGTGCGCACAAAGGAAAAATGGAGTAGCGCAGTGGGCTGGATGTATAGCCTCTGAATATCATTCCGAAATCAATCAGGGTTAGCACTGTTTGACAGCGCATCCAGGACACGGCGCACGGCAAGCATTACTCAACAAGAATTGGGGGTCGTATTTCAACTCCGCCGGAGCGGGGTCCAATTTGGAAGGAAAAAATCAAAATCGCTTGAATTGGTGGTGAAAACTTGTTTGAGTAGCTGATTTTTGCCGTTTCAGCTTGCTTTATCCCCTTAGCGGTAATGCCTCACGGAGAGAAATAGTTAATTGGATGTCTGGTTTCCCACCCCCTGTTCAATGGATATGGGGTGGGGGTCTTATTGGAGCAGATTCGATCGTTCGCAATGGTGGGTCCTCAATGTATGACTTCTATCGAACGGCAAAAAGGCAATTTCATGAGGAGTTTTTTATAAAAAAATTATAAATGAAATTTGCCAACACGGCAGCGAACAATGAAGAGAATTGGTAGCCTACTGGAGGTATGGGACCACCCAGGCATTGGAATAAATAGTTGAAGCTATATGTCAATAGTTGAAGCTACTATATTCTCAAACAAAAGCAAGGGATCACGAAAAGTATATGAATTGGGTAGATAGTAATTTCAAAGTAATTTTTTTAAAAACTTCCAATAGCGTTCCAGTGGAACTTGTGCCATTATGGTTCCACATAGCGCTAGTACGTCAATAAGAACTGCTACAAAATAGTAAGGGTAGTACACGGCTTGTAGTCCTGAAAAGCTTTATAAATACATTTCCTAGCAAAAACTTTCGAAGAACTGTTTTTTTGAAACCTTGAAATTACTAGTAGATCAAAACCACTTCGAATGAAGTTTCCTGCATCATATTCTACTAAATAGAAATAAAATTACTTGTTCAAGTTACCACTTTGTTGAACTTTTCCAACCATTTACAAAAGGAGAGCTTTGCGCCCATGTAATACTAGGAGCACGCGAATGGCAAGTCGATAAGCAGGAAAAGGTCTACCCAGCTAATCTCCCCCTCGTTCGGGGGTAAAAGGGTATGGCGGATGAAATCCTTAGAATGGATATGAAAACGTTGAACAGATAATGCCATGACATATATTATATTTAGAACAGATACACATCAGTAATTACTAGTGAAGCATTAACTAGTAACTGCAAAACACGGGGTTCGTCTATTGAAATGGAAACAAAGATCAAAATTGGCGAAGCTATTTGAGCTCAGGAAGTAAACAAAGAAGTAAACACAGCTCAAAGATGAAATTGGTGAGGTACTTCAAAAAGAACCATTCTGCAGAAGGAGTAGGATTCCAGTACCAGTAGAATGTGAAAGGATAAGAAAGTGCTTTCACGAGGTTGAAATAGAGCCAAATTTTTGGGTTGGGGGAAGTTTTTGAGAAAAAGGCATGAAGGTGAGGAGGCGCGTTGTCCTCCTGAAAGAGGAGCTCGACTCGAGCCGCACCAGCTATCTGGCTTTTCTCGTGGGAAAGACGGCTTATGCGGCTAAGATCTTAGAGTCTAACGATCCCAGATAAGAAACGGGCTAAGCCATGGCAATTCTAAGGTTAGCCAGAGGAATACGGTCGAATGATAGATGACAGATGACCGTTGATGATGACGATGATAATAATGAAGTGATGACAGCGATGATTGTTAAATGATAGCCGGATACTGAAACTAGGTGTATTGATTTTTCCGCGTGG